CATCACCGTCTAAAGTTCATCGCACGGTCATAGTTGTCCAGTAGTATTTCAGTTTTTATTTTTCTTTTTACAAAATGGAATGATCTGAAATTTGGAGCGTGTGTTCATAGAAAATAGGAGAATTTAATAAAAATATAAAAAAATAATTCGTAAAATATAAATTGATCAAAATACCCCTAAAAATTTGCGGGGGTATTTTGGTCAATTTATATTTTATGAAATATTTGTTTCATATTTTTATTAGGTGCTTCTCATTAAGATGTACACATGCTCCAAATTTTAGATCTTTTCGATTTATAGAAAAAAATGAAAAATGAAATACTATAGGATAATCGTGACCGTGCGATGAACTTTGGACGGTGATGAGCATAGGCAAAATCACTGTTCATTTTCGCCTATAGGCGTTGAGAAGACTTTTTCATATATATATATATGAAAAAGTATAGTATAAGACCATTTACTTTTCACATAAAGAAGTCACAACTGTTTGTAGCTGTCTGATGTGAAATTGGATGGTTAGGGGTACGTCATTAGTTATACACAATGTTCAAGAATTTTTTTCTCGAACTTCGTGACTTGGGCTTAGCCTCTAAATTTCAAATCTAATGGCCATGGTTGATTGTGACCTTTCTATGGCAAAAATAAATGGTCTCATAGTATACACTAGCCCCTATATATATATATATATACACACACACACACCGAAATGTTAGGAACAACCCACTAGCTGACATCTACAGTGTAAGCCAAATGACCCAAATTGAATCTGGGCCGATCCAATCATTGTTTTAAAATGTTTTCAACAGCAGACTGCTCAACGCCTAGGCGGTCCAGACGGTTTTGGCGCATTGCCCAGGACTAGGCGGGTTGTCCTTGGGCGACTACCTAGGCGCTAGGGAACCCGCCTAGGCGGGCGCCCAGTGCCCAGCCTTGAGCTGCCACACAGGACCTACGTCCCTGCCCAGGGGCGGAAATGCCCCTTGTTGAGGGCATTTTTTGGTCTTTTTTTAATAGAAAAGGGGCAGGATAGTGAGTTTTAGGTTCATTTGGAACCTAAACCCCTTAGAGCCTATTTTTAGAGAGAAAAACCCAAAACAACTAGTTTATAGAGGATGGAGGAGTGTGCGCTATGTGGACTTGTATGCTATACATATGATGTGCCATAAGTCCCTAACTCTCTTGTGTTATACAATTATACATATATTGTTAGACTATAGAGACATTTTTCTTTTTACTAGGCTGCACAGTTTCTGAGTGCTCGCCTAGGCTCTGGGCAACCTGAACACCCCCCGACCGCGGTAGCAGTTTCTGAAACACTGGATCCAATGGTCACGATTGCATTTCGTATTTGAATTTTAGTTCTTTTTTTTCTACAAATCCAAATCATTTGAAAATTTGAGAATCTATTCTTTAGAAAGGAAAGTCTACAAAGAGGCAATTTATTTTTTGTACATGGAGGTTACAATCATTCCCACTCATTTGATGTCAAACCTGATGTCTTAGGGTGAGTCACGACGTCCGACAATATTTTTTTTGGAACTTTGTTTTGATTCAATTACGCTTTTACAATAACCCATTTTGAAATTTATGGGATAAGAATGATTGTGACCTCGATGTATAAAAGATCAATGGTCTCTTTGTAGACAATCTTTCTTTAAAAATAAGAGAATCTAATAAAAATATCAAAAAAACAATTCACAAGAAATAAATTGACCAAACGGGTATTTTGATCAATTTATTTTTTGCGAATTATTTTTTATTATTTTTATTAGGTGTGCCTTGATGAGAAGAATGAACGCTTAAAATTCATATGATTCGGATTTGTAGAAAAAATATTAAAATTATGTTATGAAATGAGGTCGTGGCTGTCAGATCGGTCCATATTCAATATGGGTCATTGGGCTTATACTGTAGCTATCAGCTAGTGGGTTGTTCCCAGCTTTTCACACACACACACATGCACACACACACACGAAAATGGTTTGATAGGGCCGCAACCCCATCCAAACAAGTAAAGCCTTACCTCATAACTCATTGAAAATTGCAATTCAAGCATGAGAAATCTTTATATCAATCATCTTGGCTTGAACATTATGGTTGTGAAAAAAACAAAAGAAGGATTTCAAGCTTTAAAAATAGTGTACATTGTAACAAATTATCTAGATTGTCCATTTTACCCTAAAAGTAAGTGTTCATTGATCCGTAAAATTTTAAATTTCATTGTGGGTGTTGGAAATTGATTTTAGAGCCATCATGATGATTTTTGTTACCAAAAGTGTTTTCCAAACAAGGATTTGAGGTGAAGCTTCATTTTGTTTTCATAAATCCTATATATATATATATATATATATATATATATATATAGGA